AGGCGGCAGTGTACGGGTTGGTAAAGGCTTGAGAAATATTGTCTTGAGTAAAACATACTCTGGCACTGGAACCGAATGAAATCGGTCAACCAGAAAGATAAGAAACGGATCTACAGGACGATACGGGAGATCCGGATAGGGGGCCTGAGTCGGATTGGCCAATCGAAAGAGAGTGGGAAAGGTGAACAGAGGGTGTGATGAGGCCATACCAAATTTGCAAAAAATGAATCACCTTACGAGTGGAATGTAAACAAGTCAGAAGGTGTGATAGGACTAGAGTGGGATAAGATAGTAATGAGTAGATAGCTGGACTAGAAAAGTAAGAGTGATAGCTCAACCGTTTCGGCAAAAAGTTTGATCTAGGAATAGAATACCAAGACTCACTGATGATGCCAGCGAAACATTTGAGCATGTATCAAGTTCGCGATCCGATGCTGGGATCTATGATAACCACTATAGCAGGGGACTTTGGACAAGGGGCTTCCAACTTAGTCGTCATGACAACACGACCAGGTTGCGAAAACTAGGTCAATCAACTTATATACATCGAAAGGAGACTGAGACCATACAGTGGTCCACATCATCATGGCCTTCATATCTTTGCTGAAAGCTACTATATTTAGAACCGAATCCGACTTCATAATACCACAAAACATATTCTTGGGTTGATATGCAGTAGAATTGCCAATGGTGCCATGCCCTGATGCTGCCTACTGAGTGGTGTGACCGAAGAAAGTCTTTCACGTTTTTACCAGATCCCGTGGCTATAGTACCAAATGGAAGGTTCCTGTTAAACCCTACTCCAGATCGGCCGTCATCTTCTACTGGGATTGATCTTCTAACCCGTCTCTTCATCACAATGTCCATCAACATTGAAATGATTTGATCAATCCTGATATGTGCCTCAGGCAAATGTTCTAATTCGCAACAGTTGCCGTGCCATGGGTCCACCAAAAGAGTTTTGACGTCTTGCGGTACCGGTTGTCTCCAGCAGACTCAAGGGCTTTCTTGTAGGACTGCGATTGCGGAGGCGAGAGAAAACGGCGACGACTGTCCGCCTGTCTGTATGTCTGTCTGTTTGCCCGTATGTCTGTGTGTCTCTTTTGCACCACCATCATCCTTCTATGCGTGTGCCACTCTCGTCTCAAATCTGCCTTATTGCGGTACCCTGAGTTTTGTCGTGTTGTCGACACCTCGTTTGTGCCGAGACTACGGGGCTGAGCCTGACGTCGTGGCAACGCATGACCGCCTCGATTCGTCTCTGCATCGGGCTCTGACAGACAATTGCTGCCTCTTGCAGACACAACGCGACACGAAGCGAAGCCGTCGCAAAGCCTTGTACATAGCCTTAGAATTAGCATCAGCATTAGCAGTACCATTGGTAATATCATTGGAAATAGTATTGGCATTAGCACGAGCGCCGGGGGGAAGAGGAATGGGAGCAGAGGCAGCTGTTTGAGCCGAGCCAATGCGGACCGATTAGGCTGGACTGTGGCTGTGTCTGTAGACCGGTCGTCAGGTCTGTGTCTGGGTCACAAGGCCGGGCTGGCTCGCCTCGGGCGCTGCCTGACAGTTGAAGTACACCGTGTTGCCATATCGTCGAGCCTTGGAATCAGCCCTGCTGACCCATCGTCAAGGTGTCGACCCACGAAGACGACCCTTTCGCCGTCGAGGCGGCAACGATCGCCTTAGTTTCCACGAGCCCGTCAGCTCTATCGGCTGATCCGTTCCTTGGACGTTGCCTTCTCCCACCGCCCGAACACACATCCATCCGACTGCTCGAACCCCCAACAGCCCGACGACCCGAACGCCCAACTACCTGACTGATAGAGCCTTTAACAGCCCGACCACCCGAACACCCAACCAGCTGA